ACCCTGAACTTCAAGGGATATTGAGAGTTTCATAAAGAAAAAGAAGGAAGCAAATGTCAGGTACAGCTCACTAAAAACAGGAGAGGTTCTTCAAAAGTATACAGACTATTGGAGGTTGCTTAAAAAGCAAAGAGGCACCAGAAAATGCAGATCGGTTCAAGAAAAACCCTAAGGCTTTTATAAAAAGTGCACTAGGAGTAAGAGGATTACCAGGAAAAGGGTGGGACCTATTAGAGACCAGAGCAGCAACCTATGCAATGGAGCCAATGGATGTGGGTGAGGTCTTAAATTAATACTTCTCATTTGTGTTCAGAGAGAAAGACATCGTAGCCGGGATTTGATGAGATGCATCCCAAGCTGCTACGGGAGGCAGGGAGGAGATTGCTGGGGCCGTGGCAGATATTCAATACCTAGCTAGCCACAAGAAAATGCCAGATGACTGGACAATAGCTCATATGGTTCCTTTGTTCAAGACAGGCTGTAGGGATAAGCCAGGTAATTACAGACCAGTTAGCGGTAGGAAAAGTATTGGAAAAAATTCTGAACGACAGGATTAAGCAATACTTAGAAAGGCAGGGATTGATTAGGAATAGTCAGCATGGATTTGTTAGCGGGGGAATTCTGTCTGACTAATTTGAGATTTTTTTGAAAAGGTGGTTAAAAATATTGATGTTGGTAGTGCAATTGATATGCTTTACAAGGACTTCAGTAAGGCCTTTGATATGGTTCCATAGAAGGCTGGTCCAAGAGGTAAGAGCCCATGGGATCTTGACAAAGTGGACCCAAAGACTGATGTTGGAGGGTTGTTTTTGTCATTGGAAGCCTGAGACCAGAGGTGTGCCACAGGGATCGGTAATGGAACCCATACTTTTTCTTATGTACATTGATGACTGATGTGAATATAGAAGGTTTACTGTGCAAGTTTGCAGATGACATGACAATTACTGATGTTGTGAGGTCTCAAAACAAGCAACAAATCTACTCAAGAACCTTGAGGGCTCAGCCTACAGCTGGGAAATTGGGCAGCGCAATGGCAGATGGAATTTAATCTTGATAAGTGTGAGGTAATGTATTTTGGGAGGTCTAATAAGGGAAGAACATACTCAATGAATGGTAGGTCCATAGGGAGTACTGAGAAACAAAGAAACCTTGGTGTCAAAGTCCATAGATCGCCAAAGGTATCTGCAGAGCAGACAAGGTGTCAAGAAAACGTACGGGATGCTTGCCTTCATTAGCTGGGACGTAGAATAGAGGAGCATGAAAGTCTTGTTGCAACTTAATAAAGTGTTGGTTAGGCCACAGATGGGAGTACTCTGCTCGCAACACAAGTGGAAGGACGTGATTGTAATAGAGAGAGTGCAGAGGAGATTTACCAGCATGTTTGAGGTATACAAATTATTGAGAGGGATAAACAGTAGATCGTGAGGATCACTTTCCCCATGACAATGACAAATGTGTCTAAAACCAAGGGCATAAGGTTAAGATGAGGAATAAATGGTTTAGAGGAGATCCAAGGAAACATTTTTACCCAGAGGGTGGTAGAAAAATGGAATGTGTTACCTGAGAGGTTGGCTGAGGCAAGTACGTTCACAACATTCAGGAAGCATCTGGATAAGCATTTAAAATGGCAGTAGAATATGGACCTAGCTCAGGTAAATAGGACTAGTGTAGTTTGGTGTTTGTTGGTTGACATAGACATGGTGGGCTGAAGGGCACGTTTCTATACTGCATGACGATCTTCTGCTCCTCACATCATTTAATAATGTAATCGGCCTCTTTCTCATGCAATCACGTGGCAGGAGAGGCAAAATGCCAGACAGAGCTGGGACCTTCCAGGCACAAGCTGATGGTACCGTTCTTACAGTCTAGCAGCACACCACTTCAAATGCGGCAAACCTGGAAATACCATCTTCTCTCCACTACTTCACACTCTCTCCAACTCTGTCACTGCTTCAAACTGCTCATGGATGGCTAACTTCATTCTTCAATGCAGCATCACCGCTCAATAGCTTTCAACCACCTTATTCTCCACAACTAGTAGCTCTTCCTGCCCTCTGGCTATAAAGCTACACAATTCTGGAGGTTTGCTGCCACCCAGGAAGATAGTGAGTAAGCGCCATGAAAAGTTACAAGATACATCCTGTGTAGATGCATCAGGGCTGTGTCTCCCTCTGTCAAATGAGCTGGCAGAAGCATTCAAGTCAAAGGCACACCTGAGCTCCAAAGTGAAGTCCTGAAATGGATTTAGAATTGGTCCAATTAACCACGATACTCGTTGAGATTGATGGTTTCCCGATGCTGACTTTGGTGGATGAAGTTTGGAGGAGAATGATGTCCATAAAAATGTACAAGACATGTTGGTGAGGACACATTAAAATGGAAGATAAGAGAAGCAAGCAGCAAGCTACATCTGGCAGGTGACTGCTTCTGAACACCTCAATGGAGTAGTGCACTGGAAATCAAACCACACTATTCCCGGAGTTACCACAGAAATTAAAGATTTTATCAAAGTACACAAAATGCCCACTTTACCTGATAAATTCAGGTTAATTAGAAAATATAGAGCAGGTTTAAGTACTTAAAAATTACTATTTATTGCAAATAAATAAATAATTCCAACTCAAGGGACAAATTGGAGATTTTTGTGATGTGGCGATTCAATTTTTTCCATTCTTGCTGTAATTTCCCACGTTTATCTCCATTACCCAAATTGCTCAAGGCATGGCAAAGTCCACACATGGCTACTTATTATTTCCAGCTCAATATTTTTAAAAATTGAATTCAAATTCTGAAACTAGCTCGATGAGATTTTGACTCGGGTTCTCTTGATGACTGATTCAGTGACGTAAACACTATGCTATTGTTGAGAGATATTAACAAACTCTCTTAGAACAAAGGACAAAAGAACAGTAGAGCACAGGATCAAGCCCTTCAGCCTACAAGCCTGTGCTGACACATGACTCCTTTCTAAACAAAAGACCTTTTGCCTCTGCACAGTCCGTATCCCTCTATTCCTGCCCAGTCACATAGCCGTCAAGGTACCTCTTAAATGTTGCTCTTGTATCTGCGTCTACCACCTCCCCTAGCAGCACATTCCAGGCACTCACCACACTAATAAAAACTTTCCCCCTTTTACCTAAAGGTATGTCCCTTGATGACTGACATTTCTATCCTGGGAAAAAGACTAACCATCCATGCCGCTCATAATTTTGTAAATCTCTATCATCATGTCACCCCTCAGCTTCTGACATTCAAGTGAAAACAAACCCAAGTTTGTCCAATTTCTCCTCATAGCTAACACCCTCCAAACCAGGCAACATCCTAGTAAACCTTTTCTGTACCCTCAAGTCTCCACATTGTTCTAGTAGTGTGGCATCCAGAACTATAAACAATATTCCAAACGTGGCCTAACTAGTGTTCTGTGCAGCTGTAACATGGCTTGCCACTTTTTATACTCTATACCCCAACCAACGAAGGCAAGCATGCCATACACCTTCTTGACCACCTTATCCACCTGTGTTGCCACTTTCAGGGAACAGTGGACCTATATGCCTAGACCCCTCTGTATGTTAATGCTTCTAAGGATTGTGCCATTTCCTGTGTACTTTGCTCCTGCATTAGACCTTCCAAAGTGCATCACCTCATGTGTCCGGCTTAAAATCCATCTGCCATTTCTCCACCCTAGTCTCCAGCCCATCTCTAGCCTGTTGAATCCTCTGGCAATCCTCCTCACTATCCAAAGCTCCGCCAACCTGTGTCATCTGCAAGTTTACTAATCAAGGGTCCTAGCACTGATCCCTGTGGAATACCACTGGTCTCAGATTTCCAATCAGAAAAATACCCTTCCACTTCAGCCCTCTATGACTAAGTCAGTTCTGTATCCATCTTAGCAGTTCACCACAGATCCCATGTGACTTCACCTCCAGATCAGCTTACCATGAAGCATCTTTTCAAAGGCCTTGCTAGGGTCCATGTAAACAACATTCACTGCTCTGTCCTTATCAATCATCTTTATCTTTTCCTAAAAAAAAACTCAAAAGCCATGCTCCCTCTCACTAATAAGTCCATATTTTTCCAAATGTGAATAAATCCTGTCCAAGAATCTTCTCCAATAATTTCCCTGCCACTGACATAATGCTCACCAGCTTGTAATTTCCCAGATTATCCCTGTTGCTCTTAAACAGGGGCACAACGTGAGCTATTCTCCAGTCCTCTGTGCCTGTGATTAAAGGATGTAAAGATTTGTGCAAGGCCCCAACAATTACCTTCCTCACGTACCTCAATATTTTGGGATAGATCCCATTACAGCCTGGAGAGTTGTCTACATTAATGCTTTTCAAAATATCCAACACCATTTTTATATCGACATGCACTAGAATATCAACATACCCCTCTCTAGATTCACCACCACAATGTCCTTCTCCTTTGTGAATACTGAAGCAAAGTATTCATTGAAGACCACACCCACACCTTCCAGCTCCAAGCATAAATTTCCTCCTTTGTAGACCCACCCTTCCCCTAGCTACCTTCTTGCTCCTTATGTACATACATAACCCTTGGGATTTTCCTTAATTCTGTTTGTTAAAAGTCATTTCTCGCCCCTTTTAGCCCTCCTAACTCTAAGTAGTTTCCTTCTTTCTTTATATCCCTCAAGGTCTCTGTCGATCTTCAGATTTCCTAATCCTTATGTAGGCCTCCTTTTCCTTTCTGACTAAGCTCACAACTTCTCTTGTCATCCAAGGTTCTTGAATCTTGCCATCCTTGTCCTTCAATTTCACAGGAACATACTGGTCCTGAACTCTAATTCCTAATCCTGAGCTCCACCTATATAACCTCACTGGATGAGCCCTTCAAGGTATTCTCCCTCAAAATGGCTGTGATATTCTCCTCAATTAGTAACAACTCCCCCAAGACCTGAATGTGGAAGAGATGTTGCCATTACTTTGAGTGTATATCTGTACTTTCACCACTTTGGTCACTATGGCTTTGCAAATTAGTTGTGCTCTCCAGTTGACACTTTTAATGGTGTTAATTACAACATGATTCATCGTTGGGCAGTGATCAGCCAGGAGCTGATTGCCTAGACAACTACAAAATCACAGAATCGTTACAGTGCAGGAGGCCATTCCACCCATCCTGTTTGCACCAGTTAGATTTGCAACAAATGAAATGACAATGAATGCTAATATTAAACAAAAATCTTGCTCCACTTGAGAAATAGTACAGGTAATGTTCAGGAGCACGGAAATTACCATTTCCTATAAACAACCACAGTAGGCAGTAAACAGGAAAAATTACAACATTAAGAAAAACAGAGTTCAAACTGAACATGAATACATGGGTTTTAAGTAGTTCACAGTTTACAATTTACGCAACAAGAAATTTTACAAAATAGCTTTTAGAAATAATCTTGGGCTCAACCCAACAGAGTTGCCTCATTTATAAAATACATAATATATTAAATATATAAACTGATACAGTTTAAACTAAATAGAGTTCAAGATTTTCTGTGGCACTCATTAAATAATCATCTGACCTCAGTCCCACACAAGCAACTCATTCAGTTTTCAACTGATTGTGAACTCCTCACTTGAGAAACCACAGTCTAGTCTGAAACCAAAGATTCAATGGTAGACAATGATGGAGACTGTCTGGCTGAAAGATTCCATATTTATAGAAGTTGGGAGCAGGAACAGCACCTACATTCCGTGACCATACACTGAACCATTTGACAAGCAGGTAACGTCTTCCAAGGAAGCACCTGAAACACATGAAGAGACACATCAGACAGGACAGCCCTGCTCTCACCATCCCTTCTGGACCGGTGACCCTTTAATATGGGACACCAGGCAAGTCCATGAGCAAATACATAAAAGTGGACATCCTGTGTTATTGTGTACAGAGAATCACAGCTGAGTGTAATATTCAGGTCAGTCAGTTATACAATGGAGTGAAAATTTAGTTGGTCTAAGAGGAAACAGATGGAATGCAGTACAGGAAGATAACTTCCGATATCTCTTTTGACAGTATTTCAACAACAGTTTGAGGACATGTTTGCACACTAGAGACATATACTGTAGCTGCCTCAATAGTTAAATGACCCCTGTGAAGCACTCATTATCCGAGCCTTTATCCAAGATACCAGACCTCCCTTTCTTCTCAAAGCATTCCAATGCAATTATGGCTGCACTTGGTTTTCATACACCTTGCTATAGAGACTCTATCCAACATTTTCACTAGTTGCTAATATCTAATTTTGACAGCATTTCACAGCAAACTGTGAAACTCAGGAACCTCAAGTATGTTCACGGGCACTCAGTAAGAAAAGACTGAAGGGCAGGAGAAAGATGGTAGGGAGAAGGGGTGAATAGGGAAGTGGAAGCCAATGTGGAGAGAAGTTAAGAAAGGGAGAGATTAGATGAGCAAACAGAGGGAGGAAAGGAGGTCAGAAAAAAGAGAACAAGTACAGAGAGGCTGCAGTTGACCATGTATTGTTCAATACCAATGGGGAGATTAAGTGAATTTGCTGGGCCCTGGTTCCCAAAGCAGTGCTCAGTAAATGCCATATTTGTGCTTGCGAGGGGGACGGAATCAGTGAATTGACAGTCAGGGTGGGAGATGTACTTTGGCTCCGTTCTGTTGATGGATAATCAGGGAGGTGGTATTGTTGGAATATAATATACAGGCTACACAAAAAAAAAGGTTCCAAAAGCATAAAGATTCCAAGCATTTAGATACTGCTCAGGAACATATTAAAACAGGCTCAACAGGCTAGACAGCTTCACCCTATTCTACATTCAATGAGATGATCTCAGAACTAACTCCATAATACCTACCTTTGTCCCATATCCATTAAGCTATCAAACTTAAAAATTAACCATGAATTTAGTATCAATTCACATATGCAAGAGACTTCTATATTTTTATCATCTTGTGTGAGTATGAAGTATGAGAAACGATTAGTGATAGAAGGGAACCCAAAAAGAAGTTTTAAACATACAAATAGAAAAAAAAAGTAGTCAAAAGGAAGAATAGGCTAATGAGGTACAAAAAAATCTCTGCAGAGGCACAGGACATGGCTAATGTACTAAGTTGGTACTTTGCATCTGTCTTTACCAGAGTTGAGCATTCATGTAGCAGTAAAGGAGCAGCTGCTAGTGATACCTGGATAGGATCAAAAATTTTAGTTATGAATTATAAAAGGACAAAAAATTTACCTGGTCTAGATTAGACGGGCAAGTAAAGATGGAAACTGTGCAGATTCTGCCCACATTCCTTCCAATCGTTCTCCCATATGGGGGTGATGCAAAGGATCTGAGGATTGAAAATATTACATCCTTGTTTAAAAAAGCGTTCAACCTGGCAACTACAATCCAGTTAGCCTAGAGCCAATGGTGGAAAAACTTAGAGACAATGATCTGGGACAAAATTAACAGGCATTTTAAAAAAATAGGCTAATTTTAAAAAGCCAGCATAGATTCAGTAATGGAAAATCGCATTTGACTGTTCTGATTGAGTTCTCAATTGATCTGGCCCACAACTCTAACCTAATCGCTAGGTAAAAATGATGGAATTCCCTCTCTAACAGTGTACCTACACCAAATGGATTGCAGTGGTTCAAGTAGGCAGCTCACTTTCACGTTATTGCCAATCCTTAATTGCCTGCGAGAAGTGCTGGACCGGCCAATGAAGTTCACATTCCCTGAGTGAATTAAAAAAAAAACAGAGAGAGTATTAAGTTTGCTGTTAAAAACATAAGAATTGGACCAGGAGTAGGCAAATCAGCACCTCAAGCCTGTTCTGCTAGTTAATACGACCACGGATGATCTCAAATTGGCCTCAAGCCCACTTCCTGTCTGCTCTCCATAACCCGTTAACCCATTACTATTTAAAAATCTATATAAAATCCTTAATTTATTCAGTGTTACAGCATTCACTATACTTTGGGTTAGTGAATTCCACAGATTCACAACCCTACCGTTATGCATGTAGATTTTCAAAAAAGCATTTGACAACATACCACATAACAAACTTGTTGGCAAAAACAAAGCTTGTGGGATTAAAGAAACAGTGGTAACACAGATATGAAACTGATTAAGTGACATAAAACAGAGTAAAGTGCTGAATGAGATAACAAGGTGTAGAGCTGGATGAACACAGCAGGCCAAGCAGCATCAGAGGAGCAGGAAAGCTGACGTTTCAGGTCTAGACCCTTCTTCAGAAATGATTGTTTTACAGACAAAAAACTGTGTGTATTCATGCTCCTCATTGGGATTACACTGACATATTAACAGTCTAGGCATATGCAACATTCTTCCAAAGTCTTCCTGTTCAATTATAAAAGGAAAAGTTGGAACAGACAGACCCTAAAAAGTGTACATATACAATCTTTTGCAAGTTACAAGACAAGTTGAGAAAGTTACGAGAACCTTGGTTTTTAAATCAAAAAAAGAGGCAAAGAGCACAAAAGTAAAGAAATCATGCTGAATTTAAAAAATTTGGTTTGGCCTCAATTTGAGTATTTTGTTTCACACTGGACACAGGATCTTAGACAGAGGGTGCTGATGAGTTTTAGTAGACAAGAACCATGGATGAAAGACTCTTAAATGGATATACTGAAGAATCTGCAATTGTTCCCTTTAGAACAGACAGGTTGAAGAGGACATTTGGTTGAGGTGTTCAAAATTGTGAATGTTTTTGATAGAGTAAATGAGGAAAACTCTTTTCAGTAGCAGAAGCCTTAACAACGAAACAACTTAGATTTAAAGTAAATGGCACACAAAATCACAGGCAACAGAAGGAAGCTTGCTTTTAAAATAAGTTTATGCAATTCATTCCTGAACGTAAATGATGATGGAAACAGTGTTTCTGGGGAGGATTTTACAAATACAGAAAAAGAGGAAAATAACTTCAGGCAGTGGGAAAAGGAGGGGGGAAAATTAGCTTAATGTAATAACTCTGCTAAGCATCTGGCCAAAAAGCATCATCCTGTGGTATGTCATCCTATAAAGTTTTCACCCTTGAGTTGAAATGTTTCATCGGCTCCTACATCATTGTTATAATCTCTTTCTACTTTACTATTTGGACAGAGGGTACACAATGTAGCAATCATGTCATTTGACCAGTCAGTCACTTATCTATAATTATAACTTCTACTTTGCCCTTAGGGAGAGAGCATAGTTGGTGTATAATAATTGACAACGTATACAATTTTGTAGGTATGTGTACAGATGATCTCTCCGATTTACAAACACTCATACTTACAAATGAGATTCTACAACACCTGATGTGTTAATATTAATTTTAAAGAACCAACATGCAATGTTTTCACGTACTTATTAATGGCTATTTTATATTGGGATCCAACTTGCATAATATCACCTTACATATGTACTAAAGAACGAAAAGCATTTGTAACCCAGGGACTGCCTGTTTTATAAAATGATGTGCAGGTAATATCCGATGTATAGAAAGGATGTTTTGTCTTGAGACAATTTAGAATGAAGGGTCGTAGTTTTAAGATAATGAATAGCAGATTTACAACAGAGATGAGGAGAAACTACTTTGCTCAAAGGGTCATGAATCTGTGGAATTTACTAGCCCTGAGTGTAGTGGTTCGAAGATATTATGTACATTTAAGGAGACAGATTTTTGATCAGAAATGGGTTGAAGGATTATGGGGACTGGGCGGGAAAGTGGAGTGAGGCCGAGATAAGATCAATCATGACTGTATTCGATGGTGGAGGAGGATTGAGGGGTTGACTGGCCTACTCCTGCTCGTAATAGTAATATTCTGGTGAATGCTGCAGAAACTCAACAGATCTGGCATTCATTGAGACAAACAGAATTAAGGTTTCAAGACTGGTGTGTTTCTGCAGCAGTGTTCATTTGTGATTTTTTTTTAAAAACTGTCTGTTGCAGAGTCATACAGCACAGAAACAGTCCCTTTGGTCCAACTTGCCCACACCAACCAGACATCCCAATATGACCTAGTCCCATTTGCCAGCATTTGACTCAGTCATCTGAAGCTTCCCTGTTCATAAACCTATCCAGGTGCCTCTTAAATCTAATTGTACCTGTCTTTACCATCTCCTCTGGCAGCTCATTTCATACACACACCTTCTGCGTGAAAAAATTAGCCCTCAGTTCCTTTGTAAATCTTTCCCTTCTCAACTTAAACCTGTATCCTCGGTTTGGACTCCCTTCAACTTAAGAAAAAGATCTTAGCTGTTCACCCTATCCATGTCCCTGTCTAATTCAGCTGGCCATAAAGACATTTAATTAATGTGAAGGGGTAAAGAGGAGAAGATTGGATGTAATGAATGCTTCAGACAGACAAATAAAATGGAGAGAAAATGAATAAGAATGAATAAACAGAACACCGAAACAGAAATTTCTGGAGAAACTCAGCAGATCTGGCAGCATCGGGAGAGTGAAACAGAGTTAACGTTTCGAGTCCAATGACCCTTTTTCAGACAGGGTAAAGGGAAAGCAGCTTACCTTCAGCCAATTACAGAGGCTGGCAGAACGTCAGCTCCTGCAGCAGCTCAGCTGGATGGAGTAAATCAGATCGGTCAGGTAGGCCATGAGATTCAGGGCGATGAGAGCAGCAGACAGAAGCATCTGGTTCCAGCGGCAGTTCATCTGTATGCATTTGTCCAGGCCTTGGGTTTTGCGGAGGAGCTCAAGGGTCCAGACAACCAACACGGACCCCTGCAGGAGGAAGGCCAGGGCACTGAAGACCAGCAGGAGCCGGAGGACGGGGAACGGGCACCGCGCTCGGCAGTCGCCCACCATCATGAGGATGACCGCGAGCGAGAGCAGGGCGCAGACGCAGAGCGCACCAACGGCCCAGCGAAAGCCCGCGAACTCCGGACTACTCACGGTCGTCAGGGTAACGAAGACGACGCAGGCCACAGAAACCTCCAGAACCTTGAGCAGACCGGGCCAGGTCGCCATATAAGCAGCTCTGCCCTCGTCCTTCTTAAGGAGGACGAGGAGCTCGGCCGAGTAGGCCAAAAAAGCCAGACAGGAGGCGAGGGTGGCGGCGATCTGGTAGGGAGAAGGGAGTTCGCTCCAGCCCTTCTGGGCCGTGGTAACGCTCAGCACCATCAGCGGGTAGGTGACCGAGGCGGCCAGGTTCATGAGGGCAGCGAAGGCGGCCACCGTGACGGGTAGGCTCTTCCAGGAGAGGGCGAGGAGGCTGTGGAACTGTGTGAACTCGGCCAGGAAGACGAGCGTGGTGGCGACGAAGGAGAAGCACCAGGTGAACATGGCGAAAGTGGTGAAGTCCCCGCTCCAGCTGCTGAACCCGGCAGAACTCGCCAGGCTGAAAGCCGTGCAGGTGAACAGCATCTCCAGCAGCTGGATCACCGTCTTCGGAGAGGTCAGGTTACTCATGTCACTGAATCTGACCGGCATCTTGCCTCTGAACGACCGCCTGCCCTCAAGAGATTCCCCCTCCCGAGAATCTAGCAGTTTAAACCGTCCCGAATGTGAAAGAACCCAGTTTGAATCTGCTGCACTTACCCTTCTCTCTGTATAGAGAGGGTAGGAAGGCTGGATGTTAGTATTTCCTGTCTCACTGGAAAGTCTGAAAGAAAGTGGAGTTTCAGATGTAAAGTGACCTACTTAGTAACCACAATAGCAACGATGCGAATGGCAGTAAGGTTTTAGGAAACCGCAGCTTGTTTAGGTGAGTTTAATCTTTCCAACACGAGGCGGGCACCAGGATAACTCTTAGTAAATGCAACGTTGACTAAGAAAGATGATGTGGAGGTGTTGGACTGGGGTGGATAAGGTCAAACATCACACACGCTAGGTTATAGTCCAACAAGTTTATTTGAAAACACAAGCTTTCGGAGTGTCCCTCCTTCTTCAGGTGTTAGGTGTCAATTAAACCTGTTGGACTATAACCTGGTGTCATGTAAGAAAAGCAGCAGTTAGGCAAAGTTGAACCACCAGGCCATTTAATTCATAAAGTACTTTCAATAAAAGGGGTATAACTATCCCTTACTTATTCAATTCATCAAAAATCAGTCATTATATGCACCAACTATAGCCTATGAATGAGTTTATCTGGCTGCTGTCGTAAAACCACTGTTCCTGACCAGACTTAGAGATAATTGGGCAGTTTTATCTGTCCAGATACTCCCCTCCCTGTTCAGCTACCTCTTGAATGCTCCCACTGCACCAGAGGGGCAATGGAATTTGTTATGACCAGGTGAGGAGTGAATTAGCCATGATTGACATCAAACATTTAAAATTTGTGTTTAAGCATACGACATATCAATTAAGGTGTAGCCACAGGACCAGAATTCAGGAGCCAATTGCAAGACTCGGCCATCATCTCATTGATAAGAGGAACAGGCTCGAAGGGCTCAATGGTCGACTCTTGTTCCTACATCTTTAAAGAAAGAAAATACAGCATTTTATTATGTAGTTACATCAAAAAATGATAAACTACAACATCCAGTAGTGTTCTTCAGTTGTTTGAGTAGTAGTTGAGGCTACTATTGCTTACTCAATGTATCCTTGACGTTAGCAACATTTGTAGGCTCTTTGACTTCTTGCTGAATGGATATTTGTCTGTTTTATCACTGGTACAGTCTTTCCAGATGCTAAAGCTGGAGAGATAGTTATTGATCCATTTTTGCTCTGGTGTTCTGCAAAGCAGTAACTGAAATGTGGCTCATTTATGTGTTTTTAAGTCTGGGCCCATTGTCTTTCCATGCTGGATAGTGGCAGGCAATCTTTAATGTCCAATATGTACATATCAGAAAAATGTAAACTAAAACAGGGGAGATATGTATCATGACTGTTGACTCAGTCTTCAACTGTTGCAGACATTGGGACTAGTGGTTTAAGAAAGCAGTTCACCATTGCCTTCTCTGGGGTAATAAATGCTAGTTAGCCAGCACCACTCATGTCCTGTAAATTAAAGATAAACAAAATTAAAATTTTCTCACTGATTTCTTGATCCTACCTTAATGTGTGCCAAGGTGATTGTTGCTGCCATTTTAGATTTGTTCTTCCTTATTTTAAAAAAAATATTTTAGTCCATGTATTAAAATTAGATAATGGAAGTTGAAAACCATTAGTCTTTTGCCACTATGACAATTTGATGTTCACTGATTGTATTAATTGAGTGCTTAATTGTATTCAGCTGGTGGACATTCACTTTTACTCTTCTTTTATGGGACCAGACTAAAGGTGGGGTTGTTGGATTTAGTGATGCATGTTTGTAATATGCACCTCAATAAATGAGTATAAAGATTGTGCTACTGTTATCTTTCACAGAACACACTGCTTTTAAAAGAGCTGCTAAACAATCAGCCCACTACTATGTTTACATAAATGCTAGATAAAATATTAACTTGCTACAAAATGTCACCCTCCAATAAAACAGTACTGATATATCTTGTAACAAATTTTGGATTGCTCTGGTAATGTTTCAACACAAACAAAACGTTAGCAAAGATTTGTAGCTCAGGCTGTGGGGTCTTTAATCCTTGAGTGTGTTGGTCGTAGGTCAAGGATTAAAGATGGCATTCCCACAACATGCAGGACCAACAGTTTACAAAATACCATGCAACGACTGCCACAAGCATGACATCGGACAGACAGGACAGAAACTAGCAACTTTTCTTAATATCAATACACTAGGACAGTGAAGGCCATCAGTTTAACTGGGACAACGCAACTACAGTAGTGTAAGGCAAACAGACATGCACAGGAATTCCTAGAGGCGCAGTTCTCACCCCACAATGCAATCAACATACAGAATTAGACCCCATATACAAACCCATAGAGAACAAAACAGAAAATGACACTACTCACCATAACGGACCCAACAGTATAAATTCCAAGCGGAGTAGAACAACATCGCTTCATTGGAGGCCTCGCGAATGTGACCCAGTATGGTGACAAAATGTCTGAACAAAAACAAGCCAGCTCGGTGAGTAAGTCAACAACCACAGACAAAATGCTGAAGAGCCTCCTTCTGTACACTGACTTATGTCTTAAGCCACCATGAACTGATGTTGCTGGTCTCAGTTCCACAGCTTCAGTGAGAAGTCTCAAGGTGAAGTTGAAATCTTTTCTTTGGAGAGGGAGTATTGAAGTGGGTTATCTCAGCCCTCAGTCAGTATGGTGCCCATTCTGGAGAGATCAAGATGGACCTGCAAATAAGGAGAACTTGGCCTTTGCAGACAAAAGTTATCAATACTGAAAACCCTTCAGTATACCTTGCCTCATTCTTGCAAACACTTCACACCTCCCTTTTTCTCGTAGCTCTATGCCCTTCGCAGTTTGTCTTTCTTCCATACGAGTCACACTTCACCACAGATTAATATTGCAACAGGTTCAAAATTCAAAGTTAAATCACTCATTCTTTTAAAAGTTTATTTTGTGCAAAGATTCATACTCAATGTGAGCATTATTAATAAAGCCAACATTTATTCCACACTGTTGGTTGCTCTGGGAAGGTGGTGGACTTCAAATCACTGGTTTGATTATATTTGAGCCATTCAGGGTTAGGCTACTTCAGAAAGTAGTTAGGAGTCAATTGGTGTGGAACTGGAGTCACATTAAACCAAGCAGGGACAGCATATATTCTTTCCCAAAATGTATAGTTGGGTTCTTGCAACAATCCAACAGCTCATGATCAATTTAACAGCTATAAGATTTTTAAAAATTGAAATTCTCAAAAGCAATGGTGTCCTTGAACCTTCATGCTGTGCATTGTTAGTCCAAGAAAATAACCACTACAGCAAAAACAGTGTGAAAAGCTAGCTGTGGTTTCATATACATGGGCAAATCAGTCAGCGAAGCAAGAATGTGCCATTACTTTGAACACTGTGGTTTACAGGAAGTGACCACAGATGCCCTGAATTCAGTGTTCTGCAGCAGCATCTCCGCTCGCTTTTGCTCAACACAAATATTATCTTTTGATCTTTCATGTCAATTATCTGTTCTGCAGTATTAAAAAAGATTGAGTGGCATGACAAGGACCAAGTTGTTGTAGCTGTCTTCTGAATTGGGTGCATAAAGATATAACAGAATTATTCTTCGGAAAATGTGGCTACGTACTGCACAAGGAGGTATTTTTAGCATCAAGCTGCATCTCACCCAGGAGAACCTGATACAGACACTGGTTTGGGGACCCTCAGGATGACTAGGTATGGTATTGTGTAACATGACATGATGGAAAACCTCAGAGGAAAGGCAACCTTGGGAGGGAGCAGCTACCATATAATTGAATTTTACATTCGGTTTGAAATGGAGAAGTGTGGGTCTAAGAATGGTATTTTAAACCTAAATCAAGGCCTCTGTGGGAATGAAAGCTAAGTTAGTGGATGTGTATTAGAATACTGGGCCAGGGACAGATCAATAGGCAGTGGCAGACATTTAGGGGATGTTAACAAATACTCAAGAATATTCCTACTGCTTTTTCTAAAGAAAAATGCACCATCCATCATTAACTGGAGTAAAGGAAAGCATCAAACTTGAGGAAAAAGCATGTAATTGCACAACAATGAGTGGCTGATCAGATGATTGGTTGGAATGTATGGAACTGCAGAGAGTGACTAAAAGGTTAATCTGGAGAAAGAAGTTACAGCATAAGAGAAAGTTAGCTAAAAGTGTAAAAAGAGAGAAGATTTTCTTTTTTTAAAATATTTGTAGGAGTGAGTAAAGTGAGTGTTGTCTTCCAGAGAGAGAATGGGGAGTTAATAGTAAATAAAAAGGAAATGATATATCTAGTTAAGCAATAAACTTTGCTGTCTTTGGGGTAGTGGATGCAAAAATATTCTGGTATCAGTTGCAAAGCAGGAGGTAGAGGAGAGAGAGTAACTTGGTAAAAGCACTAGGGAAATGGGACAGAACAAACTGATCGGGATTTGTCAGCCCGCAGCTCTATGTCCTGATGGGCTTCATCTTAGGGTCTTAAAAATAATGGCTAATGAATTAGTGGATGTGTTGATGTCATTTTTCTGAAATTCACTAAATTCTGGAAAAGTGCCATCAAACTAAAGTAGCAAATATAATTCCTTTATTCAAGAAAGGAGGAATCAAATAATGAAAATAGTCTAATTAGCTTGACCAGTCATGGGGAAGTGTTAGAATTAGAAAGATAGAAAAATAGAAGCAGAAGTAGGCTATTCAGCCCCTTGAGCTTGCTCTGCCATTCATTATGATCATGGCTAATCATTCAATTCATAATCTGTTCCTGCTTTTTCCCCATATTCTTATCCTTTTAGCTCCAAGTGCTATTTCAAGGAGTTGGATATCATACAACATTTTGGCTTCGACTGCTTGCTGTGGTCACAAATTCCACGGACTTGCCACTCTGGGTGAAGAAATTTCTTCTTCTCAGTCCTAACTAGTTTATGTTTAAACTGTGACTCCTGGTTCTGAAACTTCCCCCGTCATTGGGAACATCCTTCCTGCATCTACCTGATATAGTCCTGTTAGAATTTTAGAAGTTTGTGATTTCCCCTTCGTTCTTCTAAACTCCACCGATTCAATCTCTTTCAGTCCTGCTATCCCGGGAATCAATCTGGTAAACCTTTGCTGCACTCCATCTACAAAAAGAACATCCTTCCTCAGGCAAGACCAAATTTGAATGCTATATTCCAGATGTGGTCTAACCCAGGCCTTGTGTAATTGCAGTAAGACATGCATGCTTTGTGCTCAAATCCTCTCACTGAAGGTTAACATACCATTTGCCTTTAGCACCTGCATGCTCATCTTCAGCAACTGGAGTATGAAGAAACCCAAGTCTCGTTGCACATTTCCCTCAATTTATTGCCAGATAATAATCTGCCTTCCTGTTCTTGCTTCCAAAGTGGATAATCCCATATTTATCTGCATTATATTGCATCTGTCATGCAATTGCTGCTAACTCACCTCATCCAAGTTGCACTAAAGCATCTCTGCATCCTCCTCAAAGCTCGCTCTCCCACCCAGGGTTGCGTCATCTGTAAATTTGGAATGATATTTTGTTCCCTCACTCAAATTATTAACATATACTGTGAATAGCTGGGATTCTAGCACTGATCCCCAGGAGATCCTACTAGTCACTGCCTGCCATTTAGAAAAAAAAAAAGAGGCGTGATTATAGTAACTGTTTGATTCCTGTCTGCCCATTGTTGATCATTATTTTGATTATAGCTGGGAGCTTAGCAAAAACTTAAGTTAATCGGGAAGAGTCAGTGTGGTTTTGAGAAAGAGAAATCATGTTTAACCAATTTAATGTTCTTATGCACTGGTAAAAAGGAGAACCTGTAAACATACTGAACTTGGATTTCCAGAAGATAACTGACAAGGTGCCTCCCTAAAAGGTTATAGCACACAAAGTTCATGGTGCAGGAGATAACGTGTTAGCCTGGATAGAAGTTTGGCTGGCTGGGTGAAAACAGGAGCTGTGTTTCTGGAGCTCCATGTGCATTTCTGTGGGAGTCTTGGCTTTTTACAATTTACATCAACAATTAAGTGAAGGAAATGAAGACATGGTAGTTAAATTTGTAGATGGTACAACAATGATAAACAATTGCAGAATTCTGAGGTACAGAGGGATTTAGGGGATCTACATGAAACACAAAAGTTTAGAATGCAGATACAATAAATAATTGTGAAGGCTAATGAAAAGCTCTTTTTTCACAAAAGTAATTGGACATGAAAGTAAGCATATTATCCTTCAGTTACATAGGGCATTGGTAAGACCATCTCAAACTGTGCAGCTTTGTTTTCATTATTAAGAGGAGGATGTAAATATGTTGGAGGTGGTTCCGAGGAGATTTACTAGTTTGATAGCTGGAATGGGCAAGTTTGCATACAAGGAAAGGCTGGATAGATGCTTTCCAATGCAAAGTGACACCACAGCATGGGTTTAATTCCTGAACAGGCTGTGACTACCATAAAAATCCTGCCTTCTAAACTTTGCCCCTTGCCTGAGGTGTGATAGCCCTCAGATTAAACTCACCACTAGTCTCTCTAATGAGAGAGAGTGGGACTATGGTGATTTTACCTTCAGAAAATGAGAGGTGACTTGATTGAAGTATGTAGGATCCTAAACGGCTTGTGAAGGTAGATGTTTCCTCCTGTGGGTGAGTCCAAAGCTAGGGGCACTGATTAAAAATTAGGGGTCAGCCTTTTAAGTCAGAAGTTATAATTTTATTTCAGAGGGTTGTGAACTTTGGAACACAGCCTATGGAGGCACGATAATTGAATACTTTTAAGGAAGAGGTAGACAAGTTCTTATTGGGCAAGGGGATTGAAGGTTATTGGGGGTATATGGCAATATGGAATTCAAAACACAAAATGGTCAGGCACAATCTTAAATGATGGAGATGGCTTGAGGGGTACAGTGGCCT